CTTCTACAAATGATATATCTGATAAGGGGTTAATATCCAAAATATATAAAGAACTTATACAACTCAATACAAAAAAAAAAAAACAAAAAACCAAAAACAAACCAAACCAAAACAAAAAATAAGAAGAAAAACCAAAAACCAAAACCAAACAAATAATCTGATTAAAAATAGGCAGAGGATGGGAGCAGACATTTTTTCAAAGAAGACATACAGATGGCCAACAGACACATGAAAATATGCTCAACATCACTCATCAGCAGGGAAATATAAATCAAAACCACATGAGATATCATGTTACATCAGTCAGAATGGCTAGTAGTAGAAAGACATTAACAGGAAATAACAAGTGTTGGTGAGGATGAGAAAAAGGAATCCTTGTGCACTGTTGTTGGGCATTTAAATTGGTACTATTGTGGAAAATAGTATGAAAAAATAAAAAATAGAAATGTATGATCCAGTACTCCACTACTGGATAATTGCCTAAAGAAAACAAAAACGCTAATTCAAAAAGATATATGCACATCTGTTTATGGCAGCATTATTTACAATAGCTAAGATATGGAAGCAACTTAAAGGTCCACCAATAGATGAATGGATAAAGAAGATGTGGTATATATATGTGTGTGTGTATATATATATATAAAATACTACTCAGCCAAACAAAACAAGATTAGAGTTTTCAGAGGGTGGGCTAAATAGGTAAAGGGGATTAAGAGGTACAAAGTTCCAATTACAAAACAAGTAAGTCAGAGCACCTAGGTGGCACAGTCAGTTGAGCATACGACTTTGGGTTTCAGCTCAGGTCACGATCTTGGGGTTGATCTTGGGATTGAGCTCCACGTCAGGCTCCGCGCTGAGCATGGAGTCTGCTGGAGATTCTCTCTCCCTCTCCCTTGGCCCCTCCCACTTATGTTCTCTCTCTCTCTCTGAAATAAATAAATAAATCTTAAAAAATACAAAACAAAACAAATAAGTCACAGAGATGAAAAAGCACAGCATATGGAATGTAGTCAGAAATACTGTAATAATGTTGTCTTGTGACAGACAGCAATTACACTTATTGTGGTGAATACTCAGTAATATATAGAATTTTTGAATCATTATGTTGTGTACCCAAAATTAATGTGACATCGTACGTCAACTATACTTCAATAATAAAAAAGAACAAATAAAATAAACTGGACAAAAGTTTTCAAACAAAGATGAAAAATCAGGGGCAAACATAAACAGGGCTTCGATGACTGTATTTTTTGAGTTCGTCTCCTTTGCCTGATAGACTTCCCTGTATTTTCTATCTCTCTGATACTAACATAATTTTTTTAAACTTTTAGGCTTTTAAAAATATATATAGAAATAATCTCATGCTAAACTGATATTTAGCATATCTAAATATCCATGCTTACTTAATCAGTACCATCTCTTTCTTTTAATTAAAATCTTTGTCAGGGAAACAATATTCCCTTATATTGTGCATCTTTCCTGTATATTTCTGAAACTCAGGGTAGGGGGGTCTAGAAAATTGTCTTCCACTCCAGATTGGTTATGGCCTCTGTCCCTTATTATTGGCAGAACTTTGAAGAGTACAGATGCTCTGGCACCACTTTAATCTTACTAAATCAGAATTCCAATGATCCACAGATAATACTGATGCACAAAGATTGTTTCTGTTTCCTGTAACGTAAATCTTTACAAGTTACAATTTGAGATTTTTTGCTGCTAAAACAAAAGGAGAACACACTCAATGGATGAACTTATTATTGATGGGTACTGAGGTGTCTGGAATTATTGGAAATTCTGACTGCAGAGGTGTTAGAGTCCAGAATTCCAAAAAGAAGACAAGAGAAAACCACCAAAGCTTGCTTCTTTTGCTAATAACTTTTCCTAATTGAGTCTTTGGGGAGGAAGGTGTTTAATATGTTATGCTATTGAGAAGAAAGGAATGCAGACTGCCGTGAGATTTGAAAAAATACTCTAATAAAAGAAAAATATTGTTAATTTCCTTTCGCGGAGGCAGGCTTGAGATAGAGCCAGCTTGCTTCCACAGTGTTGCTGACAATCATGACATCAAAAATGTTTTAAGATTCTGAAAACCGAACTAGCCTCTGTATTTTCTACCTTTCTTTCTTTCCTTGAGGTTCTGGAAGCTATGAAAATGAAAAAAAAAAAAAAATAGAGGCAGGGGGCATAAAAGAGGAAGCTCTTTTTTTTTTTTTTTTTTTTGAGGAAGCTCATTTCTAATTACCACGGCTGTCTCGGTTAAATGACATCACCCCATAATGTGTACCATATCTTACAGAATTCCACTCAGGGTTTCAATTGCAAATGCCACACTGAATGAGATATTACCAGTAAAATAAAATTTGAGAATCTTTAATAAACATTAATCCAAGCTGCCAATGTTAAATATAACACGGGTTCATATACTTCGGTGGTTAATTCAACTTCAGATACATAATTACAGATCCACATATTGCTGAATATCATGGCCATGAGGTGATTAGATTAAGTTTAACAAAAATAATTAAAAAGAACAAGATGAAGGGGAAATAAATGATACACCAAATAGAGCTAAAGTAATGGGCAATTCTATCAAATAAAATCAAGTATAGGAATGAGCTCCTTTTAGACATATGGCAATCCTATAAATAAACCTATGGCCTTATCTCTCTTAGAGCGATTAGAAATTCTGTAGTCATCTACCTAATCACTGAGTCTATCCTGTAACTAAGCTGCTTATCCTCTGAATTTTATTTTTTACTTTGGAGTTTCAAATTGAATAGGAGTTACACTGAACTTAAAGTCCTGACCCTATGCTTCTAAAGATTCGCCTTGGATATCTGGTATCATGGAATGGAGAAACAGCATGTATTCTGATGTCAGACTTCAGAGTTTTAAATTTGGTAGAGGCACCAATTATGTGTCACAGGCCTGAGCAAGTTTTTAAACCTCTGTCAGCCTCAGAATTTTTCTTCTGTAAAATGGTATTAACAGTGCTTAATTCCCAGGATTTTAGAGGCTAAATGAAATAATTCTAATTGAGTGCTACTCAGTAAACAAATGTGCCTTCCCTCTCTATCCTTCCTTATGGTAGATTAGCAAATCTGAGAATCTTCATAATTATTTGCCAAGTCAGTTTGCATCTCTCCATTAGAAGTGGCAAATAATTGATGAATCCTATTTCTAGTGCTTTTCCTCTTGAGAGAGAGAGGGAGTGCTTCCGTCAAGAGTAAGCATAAATTACATGGCATCACTCAAGATTAATTCAGAACATTTACAGTAGTTATATGATCTGTCATCATGTATTAGTACTCAGCAAAAGAAAACTGGACTGGAAAATTAGCAAGGTTGAAGGTGAAGAATAAAGTGCCCCAGTTAACACACACAGGCCCTGGGAACACTAGTTATCTGGAGAATTTGTAGCTTGAAAATGTCTGCATTTCTAAAAGAAAAGCATTTATAATGATGGTGAGGGTAGCTAAGAGAGAAAAGAGAATGGATGAATTTGCATTTACTTTAAGAAAACTGAGTTTTACCAGAGAAGTATCTTTTATAACTTTTGAATTATTTCCATTTTTAGATCACTCCTATAAATTCACATATATTCAAGCATATATATGTATTTATATATGACCCAACAAACTATTCTGACACACTAAAAACTTACCTAAAGATTTGTGAACCCTCTCTTTTCTTTGCCATTCCTTGAGGATGTATCCTATAGACTGAAGTCTTTAGGAGGTAGAATATGAATATTCAGAATTTTTTATGCTATAAATTTAGCAATTTTAAGCCTGCAGAGGGCTCCCTGCTTTGACATGATTCTATATATACAAAGTCCAGCACAAAGTGTTGGTAAGGAACCAAAGTAGGGTTTAATGTTTGTTATGGGCTTAAGTATTTGCTCTATCTGTGTTAAATTAAGAAGTTTAAAAAGATGAATGAAACAAAGCCAAGTCTCTACTTCTGACGCTTGAGATATAATTTAATTGTTTCATCATGCAAAATTTAATCTTCCTCTGCTTTACCAGTTTGAAAACCAAATGTGCTTTAATTTTGTATTGAGTCCGCATAGACACCTGCTGTCTGATCCTTCTAACAGTTTTATATTTCTCTCTATTCAGAGCTTAAATAACACACTATCTATCTACCTATTTATCTACCTATTTATTTATTTATAACACATTTTAAAGATGACACTGACCAGCTGATCAGTGTCTTAAACCTGGAGATGAATACAGGCAAAGCTCAGTGAAGAACAGCATTGTTTCAGTGTTTATAATTGTGATTACAGTAGTCCCCCTTCCCTGCAGGGGATACATCCCAAGACTCCCAGTGGATGTCGGAAACCACAAATAGTACTGAGCCCTATATATAGTATGCTTTGTCTTATACATACAAGCCCATGATAAAGTTGAATTTATAAAGTAGGCACAGTGAGAGATTAACAATAATAACAATAAAGTAGAACAATTATAACAACATAGTGTGATAAAAGGGATGTGAATGTGGTCTCTCAAAATACCACATTATACTGTACTTACCCTTCTCCTTCTTGTGATGTGAGAAGATGAAATGCCTACCTGATGAGATGAAGAGAGGCAAATTGTGATGTAGTGTTAGGCTACTACTGACCTTCTGACAGTACAGCAGAAGGAGGATCATCTGTTTCCAGACCATACTTGAGTGCAGGTAACTAAAACCATGGAAAATGAAACTCTGGATAAGGGTGCACTGTTGTACTTAAATTGTGCATTTAAATCTTTTTTTTTTTTTTTTTTTTTTTACTCTTCATCTCCTTGCAATTTATTTGTTGGAAAAAAAAAGAACAAGAAAAAAATAGCATTTAAATTTAAGAAATATTGGAAGAAGGGAAAAAAAAATTCCAACTGTTTTCAACGCCTCCCCCCATTTTGAACCTTATCCTGCTTATTCTTGTCAGTTCTTACCTAATAAAATACTTGGCAGATTTTTCCAGTCCCAGTGAATAATGTCCACACAACAATTAGAACATATTTATTCAGAAAGGTTTATTAACATCATTGTGACAATTTAAAATACAGGTATCTCCCAGTTTTTGAAATTATGCATTAATTAAGCCACCTCAGTTTTACGAAAGACCTGTATTAGTACCCATTTTCCCAACCAATAAGAAACATGAAGAAAATTTCTGCTTCTATGAAAAAAAGTGAAAAGCAAAAATAGCATTCAGCATTTGTTTTGCAGCGAGCAGTTCTGGAGGCCACACATACTTCGAGCAGTGAGAGTGGCTGGGTCAAGCTCCTTCCCAGGGAAATACCCTCAGCCTCTCAGCACCAACCTGCCATAGCTTTGAACTGTGTCTTTGAGCATCTGTGCTTTATTCTGATTTATTTTTCTTCACCCATTAGCAAGATGAGTCTTAAGGTATCAGAACAACCTATGAGAGATTTTTTTGGGGGTCTGGGAATGCTCAAAATCTTTCCATATAAATGAATGGTAATTGCTTTTTCACTTTGTACCATTTTGGCTTATGGAAGGTTTCATAAGAAGGCTCTATTTCAGATAACAGGGGAAACCTGTAACATGGAACTACAGGTTTCTGAAATTATAGGTTTATGAAAGATCTGACTTTTTTTGTAAAAGTGAAAATTTCTTCCAGTTAGTGAAAACAGGTACTATTGTAGGTCTTTCATAATGCATAAAAGTGAAGCATAACGCAGGCTTTTGAAAAGCAGGGGATACTTGTACTGCATGCTCTTCATATTGCCAAAACAAACAGATCAAACATATTAGACATCGGTATTAACTGTTGAATACACATACTCTGACCAATTCTCTTCATTTTCATTTCAGTGATGTCTTTTTCAAATGTAGCTCCTTAGGTTATGTGGTTTTCAAAGGTAAATATAGACTTAGGCAGACAACTAATGTAATACATTTTTGTGAGAACAAATATTTATCTAAGTACAATTTTAGTAAACAGAAGTTGTCAAAAAACGCAAATTAAATCTTCGTTCTTTTTAAGTTTTCTCCCTTCCTTTTCTTATACTCATTGACTTAGACGCTACCAGTAAATATAACATTATTGTATTTGAAGTTACTTGCTTTTGACCCTAGCAATAAAGGAAAGGAACTGCAGCTGACTTTAATTTTAATAGAAAACAAAAATGGAAAGCAAGCATAAGTAAATAACCCTAACCTTTGATTAAAGAAATGGTTCATATAATCATTATATAATTATATTTCCAGAGACAATCATAATAAACTGTGGTTGTGGACAACTGATTAAAACAAAAGAACTGAATACAAACTTATTTCCAAAGGCTGGAGGCAAGTTCTTTCATGCTTCTGACTCCCCAGAAAGCAATGCAGATGGAAAAAAAAATCTGAAGAAATAAAATACAAAGAGGAAAAATAATTAAAATTGAATCAATACTTTTGTGCAACTGAGTTAAAAATATCTTTGTGGGGGAAAATGAACATGAACATTTTAGACAGTTAAATTGATCAAATTGCATTTAGCAGTTGTTCACTGATAGAGTTTAGCCAACACAACTTAAAAAGCGTTACATTGGAGACAAGAGTGGGAGTAAAAAGTTTTGGTTTTGTTGCTTTTAATTTTTATACTCCCAAATCTGGGTCATTTCTTGGGATGGGACTGTGAAAGTTAGATACTGCATGACCCAGAACTTTCCTCTGGCATCTGGGCATACTGTATGCAGAATGTACTGTATGAAATGATCTCATTGTTTTTATAGTTTAAGAAGCATTTGGAAAAGGAGAAATAAAAACATTATAAAGAATCATTCCTCTCTGGGGCAATGCGATCTAACATGTTATGAACTTTATACAACATGAACTAAAGGTTAATCACCACTGCTGATTTACCTTCTCAGTCTGTTGATCTTATCAGGTATAAAAAAAAATGTACTACAAAATTTTCTTTAAAATTGATGACATAGCTAAGTCATAATAAGCAGCCATCAGAGTTCATTGAGTTTACTTTCTTGCTTTCAAGTAACATCACACATTTCCAATAAATCACCCAAAATTAGCCACATAAAACTCTTGATTTCTGATGATCTTAGCAAGAACATTTATAAGAATTCATGGTTGTAGAATTTTTTGTTATGCATAATCTACATGCCATAATGCCATAACACACGTATCTTCTCTTGAGGTAAAATCCAAGCATTAGTCATGATCTTTATGCCTCAGAGCCCTCCTAAGCCAACCCTTCCCTTTACTCTTACCTGTGCACTAAAATTTAACTCTAAGATTGCTTTTATGATCTTCATTTTAGGTGTTACTGGTATGATGATGGAAAAGAGTAACACCCCCCAAAAATGGGGTTATCGGGATAGTTGTGCAAGTATCTCTCCATATATTTTTTTTAATTGTGCAAACCTTTCCCAACTACTAAAATATGACCAGGTCTTCTCCCCAGGAAGAAGATCACTATTCATGAAAGATCGACAAAAATATACAAAGAAGCACATTTAAGTAATAAGATAGAGGCTTGAGGAACATTCTAGGGTGATGGACTGGGGAGAAGCCAAGGGCATTAACTGAGGCCAGCCATCAGTTTAAAGAAAACAGCTTGAATTATGGTTATTTTGCAATGAAAGCCTGAAAATGAAAACAAAAACAACACTACCACCACCTTCCTAAACACTGATATTTAGATTTTACAGGTGGGTCATTCAGTTTCATATGAACCTTATGGTTCTTTCTAGAGAACCGTTATGCTTCACATTAGTCAGTCTGCAGTTTTCTTCAAATACATGCATTCCTTTCAGCCTATAATATGCACAATATAAAAAAATATATATCAAAAATAAAATCTGCAGTTATATTGAAGCAGAAGTCAAGAATAATATTAACATTATGGAGTTGACTCAGAAATCAAATACAATATATTTAAAGGCTGGTTTTGATTTTGTTTCTTTTGACTGTAATTCAAGAAAAATGACCTCATGGGATTTCTCATGATGGTGCCAAGCAAAATAATACCAAGGTGGGGAGTATTTATGAAGGCCCTTTGTGCAATGAATTGCATTAGTCTATGAAGATGGGTAATGTTGACAGGGTACTAGCTGCAAAGACAAATTTCCAATGGGACAGAGATGATAAATGCATAATATCAGTATATATATTCCATTCAATCCATAATATTCATTGAGCAACTAATAGATACCTTGTGTTGTGCAAGGTAGTGGAACCTGAAATATATCTGGCAACTGAAGTTTTTATTAGTTTTGAATTTAGTGTTTAGGGTCACAAGGATTCCATGGGTGAAGGCTAGGGAGAATGAAACCGCTAAACTGTTTGTAAAATTTTGCTAGGGTGTCATGATTCTCCTCTTGCCTACTCCCCACCCACTAGACTATCCATACTTTCATCTGGGATCCCAGAAATAGTAAGAACTTCTGATCTAACAACAGAATGAAAAAAAAAATTACAATTCAGTTCATGCCTTTGTTGTTAATCCACATCTTCACAATTAAATCTTTCCAATTTTGAAACTATAATTCAAGTCCTATTTTCTTAAGGATCCATCCCTAACTAAAACACAATTGCCTTTTCCAGTGATCTAAAATGCTTTTAGCTTCTTACCAAAAAAATGCAATGTTGGACAGTTTGTAGTTTTATTTTGTTTCTGTGTTTGGTTTGGTTTTTTGCCCCTATATATAATCTCTTTAAAAAGATGGGGTGAGAAGCATAGAAGTCCAATTCAGGTTCAATGTTAATGTGCAGTGAGACCCTTGCTTAAACTAGCCTTTGTCTTAGGTGCCTTATTAGATTATAATGTTTAATGCTCATTACAAACCTTGGTAGGTTGGTACCCAACTTGCTCATGCGGTGATAGGAATTTAGAATTTATGGGGTTTACCAAGAAATCACAAAACTACTAAATATCAGAGCTGGGATATGTTCTTATGTTTATGTAGCATCTCCCAGAAAAATCTAACTGCACATCCTAGGAAATCAGCTCAGTGAATGTGTACATCAGTAGGGAATCATTTCCTCTTTTTTTGTAGCCCCCTGTACTTGCCTAATGATTTTTGAGTCAGTAACTGCTAGGTTTCTGACACTTTTCACAATCAACATTTTAAGCATTAATTGGAGTTTTTATATATAATGAAATCCAGAATGGCATAGAATCATAAAAACTAATACAATGAATATGCCCTTCTCAAAATATGCATGATCCTGAAATAGTTACTCAATTTCATTAGAAAATAGTTAAGTAGGAAAAAATAATTTACTCTTATATTTTTGAAAGTGTATCTGTTTGTGTAATATATATATGTATATGTATACATATATTTAAGACATAAATATATATTTCACATATAATTTTACATAAATTTCACGTAAAATTTTAAGCTTGAGTCAATAAAACCAGTTGATTATTGATTGCAGTCATTCCATTTTAAATTTTCTCTTGTCCAAAACTTCTCTTGATTTTTGTATCTACTTGTTCATTTTGGTTTACCATAATTGATTAGATTAAATGCATCATTTGAAATAATTGTTCGTTAACATATTTCCCAACCAAGTATTTGTTCAAGGAAGGCAGAAGAATTACTGCTTAGGCCAGTGCAAGAATAAATGGCAACTAAAGCAGGTTTTTTTTTTTTGCAACATTCTTCTCTATAATCATAGATACAATGTTTCTGGATATGTACAAACTCAATGAACACTTATTTTATCCTAGGTCTGGGCAAGTACCAAGATTTTAACAGCTGGATTCAAAATATGAAACGGAGGAAGTTCACTCTTGGTGTCAAGTCCTGCTTGAGCTAACACATCATTAGTGGCCGGTCTTCAGGCTATTTCCTTGACTTCCCAGGCCCCTAGATTCTGATGCCTGAACTTTGGCCTGTACAGATGCTCTCCCCATTTCCTCCACCCCTTTCCAAAAAAGTGCATCAATTGACAGGTGGCTAATCTGAGCCACTAATCCATACTAAAACACCAGTGGGAACCGATATTTTATTCTGCTGCTCCTCCCTGTTATGTCTGTGTTTTAAGAGGCCTTATTAAACATGGCTCTACTTATGAGCAAATCAGACATCTAATCTTAAGGGAGACAGAATAGTATCAGAAGAGGTATTTATGTGCATACGCCATCTCCTCAAACTGTTATGTCTCAAATTACAAAGCTAGTGGATTGTTCTTACACCTGTATACGTATCTGTCTCGGTTGGTTTGAATCCACCTACTTCTATGTATTAATAAATGACCTGAGGTGCAAATAAAATATCATCTTAGGTAGTGGATAATTTCCATTGGAACTAGCTAGCAACACCCCACACATCTCAAATATTTAACCTTCAGTAAACTGGCAAATAAAATGAAAGTTTTAAAGTACTTAAAAAATTACCCACAGGAGAAACTAAATCTCTTAAATAGGTGAAATTGATTTTGATTCTCAAACATGGATTTATTGTTACAAATACTGAAATAGAATACACTGAGAGATAACATCTCATTTAATTTTATGCTTAGTCACAGTAGCAATATAATTATGTATACTAAATCATTAAAAAGTTAAACGAGCAAGTTAGAAAAGCTAAGTCATTTCATAAATGGTGGGTAAAGTTGATAAATTCTACCTTGACAAGGAAGGAACATGGAATACTTTATAAATAGCATTTTTTGTGTGTGAAGATTTGAGACTTAAGCACTTTCAAATAATTAAAAAGAATATTACTGCTTGTTTCATTGTGTTTATTTTCAGCCAAATTTAGACTTTTGTATGGATTTCCTAAATTCTCCTGGAATGGATATACTTATTTTTTATGCCTAACAAATCATATCCTGCCTATAAAAGGAAGAGTATATTTTTACCTAAAAATTATTTCTCTGACATTGATGAAGTTCATAAAATAACAATTAACTGGCTATTTATCACAACTATAACAACAAAAACAGCAACACTTTGTTTTAAGAGCAACACATTAAACATACCGAAGTTTTTACCAAATTACTTGGAGAAAAATAAAACCAATTCTTTGTTAAATATACCCTTTAACGTAATATTTTGATTTTTTTAGAGATGACAATTGTCTGCTGTACAGATAAATAAGAACTTAAAGAGTTCAAATCTGAATTGCTACAAAATATTTCCATTTCCTATTAAGGCAAGAGACAAATACAAACAGAACTAGACTAGAAATTGGAGCCAAATGGATTGAAAGTCCTTCTGAAGTGAAAACATCGAAAGATATTTGGTAATAATACATTTTTTCTTAGAATTTTTCAAGGATACAGTTTGACAAATGCCAACTCAAAAGAAATTGGGAATTACTGATTTTGCTTCTATATATGATAAAAACTAAGAGTCATATGCAGACAAATAAACAAAAGGCTTAAGACA